CCAACCCTGGTGGCAGCATTAGTTGGCTTTTAAAAATTTTCAGAAAATAAGAGAGAATTTCAGTAGAAAAAGTCTTTTTAAGGCTCAGTTTGGGACTACAAATATAAATATGTACCATTGTTTTAAAAACCGATCCAGAGGCTGAACCATTTTTGCCTCTGGGTCGAACGGGTCAGACCATGCCACGTCAGTGTTTATATATTTTAAGTATATATGCGTGTATGTACAAATACATATTAATATCAATAAATAATGTATAATTATGTTTTAGATATGATATATGTATTATTTTATATTTGTAAAATATTAAAAATTTGACTTGAGGCCAAAAAAGGTTTTTTTTTTTTGCAAAAATAGTGGGGCAAGGTGCCTATGGATACACAGATCTCGAAAAGTTACTCCCAGAATAAAAAAAAAATCACCTCAATCAGACATTGGAGTACAAAGTCATGGCCTCCCAAAGTTTGCATACACAATTAGTATGCAACCCGCAACTAGATCACTAGGTCGACTGGGTCAATAGTTCAACTGTCTAGATTGGACGGTTTTGACCAAGTCAATGAATTTTGACTTTTTTTTGGGTTTTACTCAACCGGATCTAGAATTTTGATCGGATAACAATTCGAGCAATTCAACCAGCCGAGTCAACTGGACCTATATTAGTGTTTGAGAACACTGATATATAAAGTATAAAACCTTGTATACATATTTATATTTGTATAATTGTACTTTTCCCAAAGCTCAATTGGGAAGGAGTGCAAATATATGTTGAGTGCAAAATCTTGTATTTTGTATTATTTTATATATATTTGTATTTATAAATTTTCCAACTTGAGCTTAAGGATCCATAAACAGTGCAAATACAGCAGAGCATGTTTTTTATCTGTAGAGCTAAGGAATCATAAAAATCAAACTTTCCCCTCAACATTCTGTTTCTTTCTTATTTTTTATGAAACCAGACATATCCTTATTGATTTCTTTTCCTTTAAATCTGTGGGTCAAGTTGAACTAAGCTGTTCCATGTTTTTTTTTTCTTCTTTTTWTTGGGGTAATAAGAGCTGTTCCATGGTTATATATAGGCTCTATAATTTGCACTTAATGAACCCTCCATTCACAATGACAAAGTCGGCTGAACTAACTTAACTTTAGGCTAACAAAAGTTTGACAATTCGATATTGAGCTTTTTGAACTCGTCAACTTTGATAGGCCACCCGCCAGAACCACTAGGCTGGGTGCAAGTTGGTTAGCTTATTTGAAGACTTCATACAGTATTGGGCCGGGCCCTTGGGTCAAGTCATTCCAATTTAGCAAATGGTCAATGTAAGCCCGCCAAGTTACAGCCCAAACCAAAATCGATGAGCCCAAGCCAAGTTGGACAAGAAGGGCTACGTTATAAGGCTAAACTTCACCATATGAAGAAAGTAATGTGTTGAACTTTTATGGTGGCTTTGGATATTAGTCTTGTGGTCTATAGTTTGCATTGGAGGCCTTTAATTGCAACTGTTAGTTTGGAATATTTTATTATTAAGTGTAATAGTGATTAAAAAGCAAACAAACATTTTGTAATTGATATCTTATGTAACCTAAAATTCTCTCTGTAGTTTCGTTTTATCTTATTAATGGTATAATTATTGGTGCATTGAATTGCAATTTGGGTGTAAAATGCTCATCCATTTCAGGTAGAAAAGAAATAAATTTTAAGGTTTTTTTTTTTTTTTGTCCTTAGACTTCATTTGCACTAGTGCAAATTCAGGGGACTGCGAATGAGCGTAAATTCTAATTTCCTACTTTCCTTTTGCTTCAGATTCTATTTTGTCATTTTTTTCCTTCTTTTTGTTTTGCTCCAAGTTACTTTGCTTTCTCCTTTTGATGGTTTTGTCTTATTTTTTTATGAGAAGTAAAATGATAATGATCCTCGCTATATATGAAAGAGAATGGAGGTAGGAACAATGTAAGATAGTTCAATATCAAAAAGAATATGGATGGAAGTAGTAAGAAATGATTTAAGAATTCATAACTTTAACATGGATATGACATTGAATAGAAAGGGATGGAAAATTAGGATTCATGTAGTCCACCACAAGTAGTTGGAATAGGAATTAAAAGGATGTGATCTCCACTTTATATGAGAATCAAAGTAGGAGGAAGGTGGTGCAAATTTTGCATTAACTTTTTAGATGTAAAATTTGCACCACATAAAAGACCACCAACTGCACCGGTTAGAAGTAGTGATTTGTTACACATTGAAGGGGTTAGAAGAGCTTGGAGTAGACCAAAAAGGACATAGATAGAAGTAATAAGAAATAATTTAAACACTAATAATGTAGCAGTGGATATGACTTTAAGATTAGCAAAATATGATTCATGTAGCCGATCCCATATAGTAGAGATAAGGTAGGGATGATGATGATGTGCAAATAATAGTTATAAACAAATTGATGCCAAACTAGTGCAAAATTTGCACCCTATCCAGATTTGCACTAAAAACAAACAAAGCCTTAGTGCTAATACTTTGGCTCCATATCCTTGGTACCCATTTCTCAATGTAAAGTCTGAGAATGAGGGCTCAGCAATTTTATACTAAAATTCTCTTTATCTCCTGGCTAATATTTCTCTAGGAACAGTGGCATGACAAATCATAAAAAGAGTAAGGAGTAAATTACTAAATTACAAACAGCCACTTTGTACTTGGAGGCAAGGTTCAAAGTATCAACCTGTATCGGCCGATATGTATTGTGTTGATAGTTTCCCGATATGTCATCCCTACAGGGGTTGTATTGGGTCAGCAGGGTAACTGGGCCTTAAACTGGCTCTTCTAAACTGATTTAAAAAAATAAATAAATAAATAAAACATTAAAAAATCACCGACACAGGCCGAGGGCATATCGACGTATATCGATATTTAGAAACTTACTTGGAGGTAATGACACTTAAACCCCTGAACATTGTTCTGTGACAAGGATTCTATCACTTTGTCCCTGCCTTTAGAATTCCGTTCCGCTAATTTCTAATAAAACCCCAAATTAAAATTTGTAAGACTATTTTACCAATTTAATTAGTTTTTCTTCTAAAATCTTAACTCTTACATAGTTACATGTTTCTCTCAATTTTCTATTTTTCTTTGGACAAGGTTAATTTTGAGAACAATTAATGCTTTAGAATGGCAAGTTTCATCATTGTGATATTTATTGTTGTTAGTCTAAAG